TGTGATTATATGATTTTTCATATCGATTATTTTCATCTACTTTTCTGTGTTCTTATTGAGAAAAACAATCTCACTTGTTTCTTTAGGTCATATATTTTAAAAAATGACAGTCTATCATTTAACTCGTAAGTACTTAATTCTATTTGAGATGGTGGAGAACTTAATTCTATTACAAATTTATAACGTACAATTATTTACAATATCACATAACTTTTGTAGTGTTTCAGATAAATGTGGGCTGATATTCTTTAGCTACTTACGTAGTCTATATAATTTCTTTTTTCCTTTAATTTTATAGCTGTTGATAGATTTGAGACTAACAAATTATCAGCAAATACTCCTTGGATTCTCTGGTCTGTGAGCCGAATAACTAACATATGAGCAAATAGTGATACTGTAATTATATTATAAGTTACTAAGTCTTCTTTATGTACCTAGAAAACTGATTTTAGGTTATAAGATTTTGTAGAATCTGATATTCGAATCAGAAGGGGTTTTGTGGAGATTGTGGTAATTTCAATAGTTCAGATCATGAATCGATTGAAACTAGATCACCATGGAACACCTGGAAGCGCTGGACTACCGTTTCGTCCTATCGTGGGACTCCACAACATTACGCATCTACGACCCCGCCCCGCGGGATTCAAACCCAGGACCTATCAGTCTCGCGCGCGATCGCTCAACCACTAAACCTTTGAGCTGACCGGCATCCAACGGTGCCAATGTCTAATTTCATGGTCTGGCTTCAATTGACTCATGGTCTCAAACATTAAAATTACTATAATATCCACAAGATCACTTCTGATATGAATCACAGAACAACCAAAATTTTGGTAAGAAGAATATATTTACTTTGTTTCAATTCCAACTCAGAATTAATAATATTCAAAATCCCTGCTAAATTAGCCAACGTATATTATATTTTCTTTAAAATACTTATAGCAGTATGTCTTGTGGTTGTCGAAATAATGCCTTAAATATACTCAAATATATGTAACTATTATTTGTTAGATTACCGATGGATGTTATAACAAAATATATGACTCAAAGATTAAGTTGTATAGAAACACTGGTTAAGAAGGCAGAAAAATAAAGCATATCCCCGTTTATATGGAGTGTTGATAAACAGCCACTAATGATTACTCTTTAAAAACTGACCGAGAACAAAACTACATCCACAAAATTCTTTTTTTCAAATTAATCATCAAGTAAAAAGGTCAATGGAGAGAACCATTAGACTTATATTTCAACTCTAATTGAAGAATATTTTTGAGGTCATAAACAGATGACTACATCTGCCAATAACAGGTTTAGCCCACAAGCTGACAAATTTGTTGCATTCAGGAACATGTAATCCAAAGAAAACAACTACTCACATAAACAAACTATACATCAAATACTGGATAAATCGCAATAATTGCTAGAAATATCACATAGGATAAGGTACTCCACCACTCCATCTACATGAACATCAGAGAGCTTCTAAACACCACGGTGTACCTTCACGTACGGTGATCCATGTGAACTATGAACATGATTTTGACTGTAGAAATGTTAATATATTGAACAGAAAACGCATAAACACAAGTAAGGAGTTCTTATTAGCATTGCACTCTAATCACCTATCAATCAGTAGACGTATTAAAAGTGACTCTATCCATGAGCCAGTGAGAAAGGGAATAATCAATCGAAATCCAAGTAAACAAAACAAGACGTTCGTTGGTTATAGATTGATCCTTTCAACCGATTTTCATTTAAAGATATTTCTGATAGTGTTTAGCATACAGACAACGATGATTCAAAAAACGTCACACCTCCATAATCGATACCCATTAACAGTTATCCATGATTTACTTGTATCTGTTGTTATTCAAGATGTAATTGATGTTAGGTTCATAGTTTGCGTCATGGTAAAAAATAGTTTAACACTACTGGAAAAGCTTTAGTTTGATTGGGAACATTTTGTCTTTAAGTGAAAACGAGCATTTTACACAGGCTTGTCTGTATTCATTTCACAAACTGACTTCAACCTGACCAGTTTTATCTATATCTACTCTGCTTCATAAATTCACCCAATCAATAAAAACTCTTCTCCTTGGCAAACGATAACTAATTAGCTTAAATAATGTTAAAACAATATGTAAAAGCTTTATTTTTTGTGAATAAATTATCATGAAATATATTATAATTGATTTATTCAAAGAAACTATTCTTCACAAAAAGTTGATTTATTTATCAGTAGTTTGAAAATATTGGATCTGAAAACATTTCACAGAGAAGCAAAATTCATTTATAAACTATCACAAACAAATTCCATGAATCAGTTGTTTCTGAGCTATAAATAGATTATCAATCAATTTTGTAAGTCCAGTTTTCATCACGGATTAAAATAGGTTTATGACAACGACTTTCACTCCGTTTTATGATATAGGATACATAATAAGGTTGTATCATCAACTATACGTCTATGTCATGTTCCAAGTCGTCCATATAGGTGAAATGAAACTAAGCTAGAATCAGGCTATCTACGCTTGAAGACAAACGAAGGTATTACGTGACATAATAAAGTGAAGAGGGTAAAAAGTAAAATAACTGTACTGCAAAAACTAGTAGCTCAGCCATGATAAGTGCAATAATCGAAGCCTATCAGCCATAAGTGGATTTTTAAAACTGTAATGCATGTAAATTTGGAAAATGTTTACAATAACAAGATGTGTAAACAGAAAAAGTTTTAAGAAAAAGGTTGCATAAAAAAAGTTTCTCACTAAAACTTAAGATTACTAAGATGATTGGATTGCAAAGCATTTTCAATGAAAAGATTAAGGATATTAGCTCGAATTACCAATTTTTCACCGGTTTGAAGATAAATCCAACGTTTTACACGAGAATATGATTGTCACTTATTTTCATAACACAGAAATCATCTGTTCTGTCTAATCAATATGATCTTTGCAAGATGCATTCATTGAGCGTCACAAGACACATGAACAAAATAAAGAATAACGAATATGTATAGTTGTAGAAATCTTCTTTGCAACAAAGTGTCTTTCATAAACAACCTATCCATATGTTAATTAAAATCCTACTATTAACAACTTTTGAGATAAGATTGTAGTTAAACATTTTGAGTTTGTCTAACTAAGCCGGGAAAGAATTTAATATGGTAACGTCTCTGACTGTGAAGCTGGGTGAAACGGCATCGAACCCATTAGGGAGCATCAGTCCCTTCAAGATTACAGGTACACCTTGCTGACGAGTGCCAAATAGCACGAAACCTAGATCCAATGTTTCCTGTTGACTACTTCCAACCACCATCTTATCCGAACATAGTACACGCAATTTTGAATCACTTAGACTGGCGACCACATTGCAACTTGGTCGGTAGGAATCGATCAGAACTAAGAACAAGCTGACATACATGACATTGATCACCACCCAGTGATCAATCAATTGTATATACATCTCAGTCCTATGAGAATTCAATTTAATGTATCATTATGGCAAGGTCCTCAAATACAACACGGAAAATAGTAATTCAATCACACTTGATGGAGAAACTCTGGAAGGTGTAGAATCCTCCATGATGACCAAGAAGGATCCGATGCAGATGTAAAGGCGAGGATTGGCAAACCAAAGGTCATATGCCTACAATTGAAGAACATATGGGACTCAGAACAACTGACAACCAATATCGAAGTCACAATCTTCAATACTAACGTTAAGGCAGTTCTACTGTATGGAGCTGAAACTTGGAGAACTACTACAACCACCATCACGAAGGTACAAATATTTATAAATAGTTGTCTAAATAGGATACTCAACATCAACTAGTCGGATACCATCAGCATCAGCCTACTACTGTGAGAGAGAACACACCAGCTTCCAGCTGAACAGGAAATTATTAAAAGACGATGGAAATGGATGGAAGATACAATACGGAAATCACCACACTACATCACGAGGCAAGCGCTAACTTGTAATCCTGAAGGGAAGAGGAAAAGTGGAAGGCCAAAGAGCACATTACGTCAGGAATTGTAAGGAGACATGAAAAGAATGAATAACAACTGGAAATAACTGGAAATAACAGCTGGAAATGATTTCGCAGGAGAGGGTTGTATGGAGAGTGTTGGTGGGAGGCCTCTGCTCTTCCACGAGGAGTAACAGGCATAAGTAATTAAGTAAGTAATATCTTGTTCCGACAATCTAATTGAAGTGAGCTTATTTCGATAGGTATATGTTTTAACGTTTAACTGCATTTTATTAAAGGATACCACATCGAAAATGAGGCTAATATCGTAATTAAACAGCTTTAATTTATCATTGTACCTGATTAAATATAACCTTTATATTCAACATATATTCTACACATTGATGAAATCACTAAAAGTAATATTAATTTATTCCACTAATCTATCATTTATGAAATAATAAAAACATAATGCAATTTACTATGTTTTCTTCTTTCTCTTTTCATTTCAACCCTAAATAAATAAATATCGTTATGAACAATTAAGATTTTATATTTGTTGAATGAAATTTTCATATGAACATAGATTGTTATGTAATCGAAAGATAATATGAATTAGGTGAACTAAAGAATAAGTGAAGATTATCCAGAATTCATTATTATCCAATTATAATTGTTATTCAAAAGTGAGGGGGAACGAGAGAGAAAGCAAAATAGTCAAAATAAAGTATGTAGAAAACCTGAACATCTAAAATTGTGAAGAATATTGCTTAATGAATATGTACAAGGGTATTTATTTCATCGAGTATTACATTAAAAAATTGACTGGGAATCAAATGAAAATGAATATAAGCTATTTAATATTATTGACATTAATATCAATTTGTTTATCAGTTTTGAGTGATTGATTTCATTTCATTGATAGTACAATTGATGTGCAGCATTAAATGTATACAACATAAAGATCTACAGAAGAGTTTGTATTCTGTAGGACATATATATATATATATATATATATATATATATATATATATATATATATATATATATATATATATATATATATATATATATATATATATATATATGAGTATCTGAATGAAACAGAAAATATGTTCTATTTGTGTGTAGAATGGAATGTTTTAGCTAAACCATATTTTACTGTTTTAGTTAAATAATCAAGAATTGATTTCCATGTAACTGCTAAATCATCCGACCATAAGCATTCTTCTTTTAAGACTGGTTCTATAGCACCCCATAATTGGTCCGAAACACTCTAAAACAAAGAACAAAAGTGAGAAAATAATGATGAGCCAGTGATTAATAACTTCATTAGCTAGATTTCTTTTTGTGTATCTAAAATCGATGGTGATAAAACGTAGATGTCAAAAATACTGGGTAAAATCTAAACCGCTTTAAGCACTTAACCAAGCTAAATACCAGTGTAATGTCAAAAATTTTAGATACATGCAGGTATGTTACTCTTTTTTAACAATAGACTTCTGTCCTTTTTCTGAGAAAATCAAAAAGTAGAGAAAAAGTGTAGAGTCACAACATCGAAACCTATGAGCAATATGAATTACCAACAATACCAACATAAGATCCTCAATTTTCATGGTGAATATTATACTTATTTGAAAATGATTCAAAACTACTTGTAATAAACATGAATTATTACTGAGATAGTTACAGTTTCTAAGCTTAGATGTAAGTTTTATGTTATTTTGTCTATGGTAATAATAATTGATTTCATTATTTGAAATCAATTGAAGCTAGACCACGATGGAAAACTTGGGAGAACTGGACTGCCGTTTCGTCCTAGTATGGGACTCCTGAGAAGTGAGCATCCATGAGACCGCCCCCCTCGAGATTCAAACACATGATCAATCAGTCTCGCGCGCGAGCGCCTAACCATTGGACTACTAAGGTGGCCAGCATCCAACGATGTTGATGTCTACCTTCAACCAATGATTCATATAATTTATAGAACTTTATTATACATTTGATTGGTTAGAAATTCGTTGTTATATACCGCTTACAAGCACATTTTGTACATACAGACAATCATGATATTGCTATACATTCTTTCAAGCACCAAAGTTATAAAAAGACTAGACTGAAGTATTTTTTTCTTTAGTAGTTATAGAAATGATAATCAGATTACCAATTCCCTTTAGACTTCATTGGTTTACTTAATGGTTATTATAACAATAGTAATTTCAATCAGATACTGAAGCAATGAGTATCTAATCGTTAAATGTTCACTAAAAATTAAACTTTTGTCTTATTTATTAATGATTAATTTATTAAAAACAATGATTTAGGACAAAAGTTAAATTCAACAAATGAATAGGTATGGATAAAATCTAATCAAAAATTTCATTTAACAATAGAATAACAGTAAGTGTTCTCAAATTTACTTGGTATTGTTTACTTAAATCTTACCATTGATGTTTAGAACTGCAACTCATTAGTCTCATTTTGGCATATGTACATACTGTGCGTATGGCGTTGATATTGACTTAATTCACAAGCACTATATGCAAAGATTAGTAGTGGCTAGCAGTGAAATCCAGGACACGCGTTTCGCCTTATTTGGGACTCTTCCGTTGGGTCTACCTGCATCCCAGAGTTGATGTTCATTCTGTAACTCGAACCTAGTACCGTTCGCTTCAAACGCTACCGCGTTATCAACTTTGCTACCGAGTCCTGATAGCCACTTGCTTGTGCAATGGGATGTTCTCTCTTACTTTTGTTTAAACGTGATGAAATGTTGAGCCTGATATTTCAAATTTCTATGTACGGATTTATATTTTATGATTTGTGTGAATATTCAGTAGAATATCCATTGAATTCATTGTTTCGTATATGGCTGACGAAATTTGTTTTTCAGTAAATAACCAAATAAACTCAGCTATACATGTAGCAATTCAGTTTACACCGCGTACTGATTAGAAAACCACTAAAAACCAAAGAGCAATGGCTAGTTGTTTCTTCCTATAACAAAACAAATAGGCGCTGTTATTCTACAGAATCAGTACAGATCTAGCTGAGAACCTTCAGTCTTGCTGCCACTCTTAACCTCTTATATACCGAGCTGGTTTCCAAAAGTTATATTCTCACCTGTAATTCATTCACGAAATTGTCAAACTATATTCTGTTGGCTGTTGTAAATAACTGTCACACACCTGACGTAGGTGAACTCTACTAATCACTGTTTTTAATACGAAATGCTGAAATTTGATCCTGAAATTATCTAGAAGTGAATAGAATGTATGTATTACTATAAGTGATTTTAGAAAATTGTTGGAATCCATGATTAGTGATAGCTAGAAATATACGATTCATCTACAAACAAATTCTATTCAAATGTTCAACTTTTGATATAGGCTGTTTTTAATTTTTCCGCTGTGATGAAGCAACGTCACTATAAATCCGCAACAAAACAATGTAAATGAAAAGCACTGCTATTTTTGTTTTCAAAATAAGTGGGGGAAAAATGTCAACTTACAGATACCAATGCAATTGTTGGAACGTATCGACAATGTTTTGATCCAATCATCATTAATTGTCTTTCAATATCATCAGTTTTAGGTAGTCGAGTAATTAGTTTATCTACTACGCTTAATACGCGTAAACCATGAACTTGCATTGCTGGATCATGTTTTACATCAACGAATTTTCTCTTTCGAAATTCAGTGAATGCATCACGAAAGTCTGAATGTTGTTCAAATATGCTGAGTATAAAAAAGACAAATGCAAAACACTAACAAATGCTTCAGTTAAAGTCTTGATGTAAAATTTAAAAAAAACCAAGAATAAAACACTTCCAAATATTCGATAACTATTTATTGTCTACGTTTTTTTAGTGATGCTAGATCTGATAGAACTTGATATGAAATACAATTATTTACTATCATTTCAATATAAAATTGAATGTCTATGATCCCTTAATCTTTAATAGTGAGTAGTAAATATCAAGATACTTTGGTACGAGAATGCTGGTCGGCGGCCTATGCTCCGTTGGGAGTCACAGGTATGAGTAATTAAGTAAGTAAGTAAGTAAGTATCAGAACAAACAACATCACTTCAGTTGTTTTGTATATTCGTTTATATTATCAAAAATTGAAATCATTGTGTTGATTTTAACAACTTTTTTGTTTCAAAAATTTACTAAAGAAAATAGAACTAGAATAATGATTGATTGAACTGATTACATAACTATAAAGACAATGTGATCTTCATGAAAATTGATTCTGAATAGTGATCGTTTCCGGTGAATCAAAAGAAGTTTATTAATGTTGTTATTCATAATTATCATAGCTGTTCAACAAAATTGATGCGTTTTTTCATAATGCAAATTATTTCATCTATTCGCAATCTGTTATATGGCTTGAAGGAATTAGAGTGATTATTTGACCATTTTCTTTGGAATTCATTTTTTTGTCAAAAAAACTAAAAGCTGATTAAGTTCTGACTTTTGTATAGTTGCTTTTCAAACATCTATGAATGAAAAACATAATAAAATTCGTATTTAAAATAAGTTTCATCATCGTACAACTGTGGTGTGTGCTACTTATATCGACATAAGTAATATAGTGCGCTAGTCAGAAATGGAATGTCTCACAGCAGAAAGTCAAAATTATCGAGAACAAACGAACGGAAATAGAAAGCAATTAGCATGGAAATTCAGGAACAATGGAGTGTGAGACGACTGACTGATATTTACAAAAGGCACAGTCAAGTTTGAGACAAATGATTGACATTTTGCAAGTTAAATAATCACAACCGTTGATTTAGTTAGCTGGTTTTCAGAAGTTCGCAGTGATTTGCTTACTATTGGTATTAATAATTCCATGTTCATAGTCCATATTTTGAAGTCATAGCTCAAGATAAATTAAAATAGAAACTTTATAGAGTTTATTAGAATTAAGGACTTTTTATAGTAAAACTGAGGTGAACATGAACATGAGTGGGGACAATGAAATTTGTTTGAACAAAAAATTACAGTACATCTCACTAAAATCTGAGAACCATACAATGAACACTTAATTTGCAAAATATCAATCAAATGTCTCAAACTCGACTGTTCATTTTGCCAATATCAGTCTATTACTCCATTGTTCTTACATTTGCATGCCAATTGCTTTCCGATCCCGTTCTTTCCTTCTCGACCTGCTACTGAAATACATTCTATTGCTAACTATCGTTGTATACTACTTATGTGGATATAAGTAGCTCACACCACAAAAATTTTCATCAATCGTATGTCCTGATATCAAATGATGTCATATACTTTTGATTCGTTTTTACAAGTGAGTTTTAAAAAATATATTCGGTTTGTAAAATCTTTGATTTATTCATTCAGTCGAAATTTATGTTTACAAAAATGCCTGTTGTTAATTTATTGTGATCTAGTGGTCCAGAGGTTAATTGTTCGCGTAAGAGACCGATAGATTCTGGGTCCGAATGTCGCGAGGCGGGTTCGTGGATGCATACTACTAAGAAGTCTCACAACAGGACGAAACGGCCGTTTATTGCTTCCAAGTTAACATTGTCAATGCAGAAATAATTAGATTCATAGTTAGAAAAAGCAAATCATCAAGTAAAACTGAAAATCCAGCTGTAAACTATCTCATTAATCAAAATGAATAAAGTGTGTATGATAAAAACATTTCACTGAAATTCCATCATAGACCATTTCAATAAAATGATAACTTAAATAACACTAACATAGTTTACTCACGCAAAAAACAAACAAATAATGTAAAATTTTACATTTCATTGTCATTCAAAAACAAAAAGAGAAAAAAAGAAAAGAAAGAAAAATAGAAAGAGAAAAAAAGGAAAAACAACTTAAATTTGTAATGGTTTGTAACATTTTTATTGATGTAATCCATTCACGTATAGATTCAACAAAATTTATCGTTTTAATTCATAGAACAATTCTAATTAATCACTTATTTATTTAGAATGTTTTTATATAATACAATTATCTCTGAGTGATCTTTGAAGAAAAATGTAAGAACTAGTTGGAGAAAATAGAAAAAAACCTACGTATTAAAGTGTTGTACATCCATGGAATTACATACTATTTGGCTTATAAATAATTAGAAACTTTCTATGACAACTATCTTTTATCATTAATAGATTATTCATGAGTGATTGTTTTCCATTATGTTATTCTTCTGTAATTTTATCAATGTGTTTTATGATATTGACTGTGAAAAAACTTGTGTCTTCTTTTTTTATGAGACTATAATTGATGAACGCTAAAGTGATCTGGAGAGTATTCACCTAATAACTAGAACTAAATGAGTGTTATAAACCAATATGAGGAATCAGAGCTCAGAGAACAAAACTCCACCAAATCATCTACCTGAGCTAAAAATCTTCACCATCTGATAATAGATCTGGGATTTAGTGTGAAATTCACTTATCCATTCGGATAAATGGAGTTTTGGCATTATAGCTTATGTCAGTTCGTGATGAAAACCCTGTATCTAATTCTTAACCTTAACCATCAATTGTAAATCATAATTCTTATTCCTCACACACAGGTTTATAACCTTCATTTAGTCCCAGTTATTAGGTGGACACTCTCAAGGTCAGCCTATCGTCGCTCATAGGTCGTTCAAAAATTTGTGTCATCAGGAAAATATTTCATAAAATTATGGGGTGATGAGAGACTCCTTAAACGTTAGTACCCACAACCCTATCTATAATTTATCCAAGTTATTTCAGATCTCTCAGTCAGTGTTTAGAAAACAGACTAATGAGTTTAGTTTCGGTGGTACACATTTTCCAATTTAGGCAATTCATAATATAACATAACGACCTCCCAGTAAAACTATACTGACAGGGAAATTTAAACGAAATAGCGATAAGTAAAGACAATATTTATAAACCAAACAAGTATAGTGGATCAAGCATACTTTCGAAATATAAAAACGTTATGATAACAATTAAAAGTGAATTATTAGTGCATAATATTTAATGTAATTAAATTCACTTGGTGTTATTTTACTTGTATCTTCCCATTGATGTTTCGATCAGTCTCGTATTGGCATATGTGCATCCTGTGAAGATTGTCTCGTTATTGCCATAAGTCACAAGCTTTTTAAGCAAAGGTGGATAGTGGCTAGTAGTGGAATCCACACAGGATGCACATATGCCAACAAAACATTGATCAATTGAAGTCCTAAATAACAATGGAGAGATACAAGTAAAACAGGATCAAGTAAATTTCAACTTCAGCACAGTGCACAAGCAGATGGCTATCAGGAATGAGTAGGTAAGTGGATAACGCAATGGTGTCTGAAGCGAACGGTACTGATTTCGAGTCACAGTGAACATCGACTCGGGTGTACAGGTACGAAAACGTTACCTATTACCATACATGATATAAGGGCGTTTATTCTCTAACATTTTCATGTAGATCAAACAATGAATAAGTCGTTTGCGTTATTTTACTCCATTATTTTCCTCAATTTTACTGATTCATGTCTTCGGATTTGTTTCAGGTCTATTACGATCATTTATATGACCGTTATTATTCAAACATAAACCATCTAAATTCACATAGTTATTCCTTAATTTTTTTTCCTTACGTATGACTACATGATAACGTTCACCTTGCTCGATTGTTTTGTTACAATGTATGATTTTTTTAAAGAAACGGCGATACCGAGTATATTCTGTATGAATCTCGTCTGTCAAAATGCCATCTTACTTATAAAGTTGAAATGATAAAATAATGTTATACGCTAAATTGCTTTGCAATAAAAAATCAGTTTGGTTGTTAGTAGTCCAATTACTGTTTTAATTTATTAATTAATTACTCAAATAAAAAGAATTCCTATATAAAGATAAAAAGAGCTAACAACATATCCTGTAAACAGGTTCTTATGTCGTTATGATCATATGTTTCCCTTAGATACTAATTTTGTTTGTAAAAACAGTTAGTTTATGTTTTTATGCGTGATAAGATTGAAATACTCTCAAACATATTTGTTATAAAAATAAATATGGTATATGATGTCTGAGATAAGCATATTACCCAAGATCTATGGACCTCTGTGAACACCATTAGAAACAAAGTTTTGTGAAGATTATAATGTTTAAAAACGGTTCCCATCACTGATTGACTGAGAAGGTAATTATTGTTGCCTCTTTTGATTGGCTGTTTCAGCTAATTCACTCTGTGATTTACATTACTCTCATCTTATACTTCTTTCAAATTCAAACAATAACTGCTTGTTAACCAGTGGGTAATATTAAGAATAATTTTTAAATTTCCATCCAGAATACGTCTTTGATTAAATTCAATCCTTTCCGAAAAGGGATACTCGATAAATGAAAATAAATAGTCGATACGTATTAGTATGAATTTACTGACGATAGAAATACAAACTGATTTTAGTCTAATACTGAGTTCATGGTTTGTTATCGTTCAAAAGTTTTTCAAATTACTTTCAAACATCTATCTGATATTCTTTCAATGGCTTTTTTTAACGTTTTGTGTTTGTATTCACTTTGTTAATAATTGATTAATTCTAAATATTCATTGTACATGTAGATTTGTAGAGCAATTGTATACTTCCTTTAAATTTGAGCATAAGTAAAAAGTGAAATATATGAGAAATTTATTTATCGAAATCCTGTAAGATTTATGAAATTTGTCAGGACGAAAAGTGAATATCCGGCGCTTTAACTGGGTCAGTGGATATGGAGGATACACCTAGGGGAGTCGAAAAACCCTCATTCCAAATCAATGGTGCACATGTATTCCAGGATCCTGAATAAACAAATAGCGCGTGAACCAATTATTTGTCAACATCTACTATATGGCTGCATCTTTTAACGTTACTCCACCGCCTTATGGATTAGACCTTTATGTTGAAGGCTCCGGGTGTGGCCCTCAAGTAGACCACCTGTTTCGGTTTGAGCACTTGGACAGTATCACTGCCCACACACAAACCAAGTGATTTTATGGTGCATATTTATTCAGTGCCTCCTTTGTACTAATATTTATGTGTTCAAATAAACAAATAATAAATCAACAATCAACATAACTAATAAAGAAATCTAATCAGTTTGAGATTATCAAAAAAAAGAATCTACAAATAAGTAGTATAAGGTTTATATACATTTGTATAGGTTAAACATTTCTTTCATTTAAAATTCGGTTTCATTTAGAATGAACTGAATCAAATGAGATTATTCCGTTTCCTGTAAAACATCAATGAAACAATTACCTTCACCTTTATTGTTCATTCATGACATTTATATTCATTCAACTAGAAATAGTTGACATATTAAGTGTTCTTACATATTCATAAAAAGATATGACACTGAACGTTTATACACAATGGAGAACATTTCTAGCTAATAATATTATACCAAAAGAAAGTCGAGTGTTTTTTTGTAAGGAAAATGTGTAATTTCACAAAGTAAAACAACTCGTTTTATCAGAAGGGGTTGTGCGGTTATTATATTAATTTTAGTACTTGAGATCATGAGTCATTTGAACTTAGACCACTATGGAAAATCTGGAAGCACTAGATTAGTTGAAGTTAGACATTAACACCTGCCAGGTCAGTGCTCTAGAGGTTAAGCGTTTGCACGCGAGACTGATATGTTCTGCGAGGCGGGATCGTGGATGTGCAATGCTGAGAAGACCCACATTAGGACGAAATAGCCATCCAGTGCTTGCAGATTTTCATGGTAGTTTAGCTTCAATTGACTCATGATCTCAACTATCCAAAGAAACTCATTTTTTGTTACTCAGTTGATTTATCTTGTAAGCGAGTGATCGAAGTTCCTGGATTTTAGTCCCGTTTGCAGGACAGTGACTATGAAGTGGTGAGGAGTCCCATACCAGAATGAAATACTCTTGAAGTACTACCAGGTTTTCAATAGTAGTCTAAAGTTGATCAGTCTATGATCTCAATAAAAACTGGTGAAGTTATAAACATGAAAAAATTTAATTTATCAATCTGAACGATCTCTATTCCGTAAGTAACAAACGAAGAGTGAGTCATAATATATGAGATTTTGTTAGATTTGATTGTAAAAAACTTAATAATTAATTCAATATGATTCTTTCTAAATATAAAATTAAATAAACTTCAGTAGTATATTAAGTAGACCGACTATACTAAATCGAATAGTAATGACGTATATTGATGAGTAATCGGGTGATAAACAGTTAATATCTTGATTTATTTATAGTTTTATAAGTAATTGTTTGAAAGAAATGATTTTTTTGTATCTTCCTATAGTAACTTTTTAAATTACATACACATCATTCAATTAATTCGAAATCTAATGTCAAGAATCAGATCAATCTTTATTTGATAAGGACAAAAATTATCGGAATTGTTAAAACCGCTATAAACGTTGTAGTGTGGCGTCGAGTTGCGTTTGACTATGGTCATCACTACAAGAAGACCACGTGCCAGTTAACCGATAAGATCCCCCTTAAGCCAAATATCAGAAGGCAGTTGATAGCTGTTGTCGAGATGTATTTGTTGACGATCTCGTGTTATCGAAAGAATACCGAGATCGTGCCAGGTTACAAGTGGGGTTACTGAGCGTAACCGAATTCGTGCAAGGTCACAATCAACGGAAGAATGTATGGTTTTAGTAACGTTAAACAAACAGGTACAGTAAAACAATCACTGGTACAATTGGTTATAATAATACGTGTTTCCATTATAGCAATCGCGTTCTCTTCATAAAAGTAGGTCACTACAAAGTATTGATATTAATTGTACACTTCATAATTATTTCCTTTCAATAATAGTTTGAATAGCTTGGTGATACTATAATTTATGGGTGACCTTTGAGCGATGCTAGACTGACCTTGAGAGTATTCACCTAATAACTATGACCATATAAGGGTTATGAAACATTGTGGGGAATATGAATTATGATTTACAGTTGATGGTTAGGTTTAGGAATTAAATTTTGGGTTTTCATCACAAACTGACATCAGCTATAATGCCAAAACTCCATTTATCCAAATGGATAAGTGAATATTGCATTAAAATCCGAGACCTATTATGTTTTACGTGATTGATTTGTCCATAAATTATAGTCTCTCCAACAGTTTTTCTAATATTGTTATCGATTTTCCTATAAATACACATCTTTTGGCAAAAGATTTGGGGTTGTTTTCTAGTGATTTATGCCCTGATATTGATATAGTTTTTCACTGATTCGGCTACAATTTTTGTCGAGGTTAGTTTTCAGAAAGTGTATTTATATTTATTGATTGTATGAGAATTAAAAGTAATTTGCTAGAGTTTTATTCTCTCTGACCAAACCATCCAGATCAGAGAATAAAACTCGAACAAATTCGTTCACCTGAGCTACAAATCTTCTCCACCATCTCAAAGTAATTTACATTAATGATTGATTTCAGCTGGACAAACATTGGGAAGTATAGTTAAATAAATACTTTTTCTAACAAAATTGGTAATTTCATTTGTTATAGTAAATCAATATCTTGATAGTTATTTATGAATGTCAAATTTATGTGTTTCATTAGTAATTTATGTGTCACGTTAATCTTCAAGAAAAAAACACAACACTAAATGTAGAAGAATAAGAAATGAAGTGAGCCATTTACATTACTACATAAATGATTGATAACTTGCTCTACCAACTTTGATCTCCATTAGTTGCTATTGACGTTTATCACGTCATTGTTTATTTATTTGAGACAACCAGTTATAACTAAAGTTCATTAAATAGGCCATTAGTCTATCTGGAGAATTTCGAATAGCTTGCATTTAACTGAAGTTTGTGCAAACATTGTTATTCAGAAGAAGAATGTATGTTTGACGATTAAACCACCGAGATTGTACTAAAATGCCCCCTGATAAATTAACATCTCCACTATCTTAAAGCAAAGCGTACAAATATCCTAAGCATGATATTTCCCCATACTAAAATATAACAAAATCAGTAGTGAATCTACATATGGTGTCGGACTGTCATGAAGTACAATATTGTTGGATATTGTTAGTTGTGTGTGACATGTGAAAATATATTTAAGTAATAAATATGCTGGTAAAAACCGATCTTAAATTCGACTTTATTCTTAAACCTTACGATCAATATTCATATTAAGTTAAGCAAAAATAACTATGGTAATATTAGCTCTCATTGAAATAGTGTTCATCGCTTCAGTTTTTTATAGTTCGGAAAGTTGCTGCATAGCATTCTGTTACTATTCAACATACTCTACAATAGATAACGTAAACGTAAATAGCTGTACAACAGTGTATTAAAGATATAACTGGTAAGATGTATTTTAAAAATTATATTATTCATCTAGTTGACTACTCAAACCCTTGGAAGATTGCTTCCAAGGAAAATAACTATGATATGTTAAAAGACCAATCATATTTTAAAGAATAAGTAATTAAACAAAACAACTACCTATTTCCTTCATCGAACTAAGAAATGATGTATGTTTAATTGATAACTTACCCAAGAAATGTAATCACACCAATTTTTTCAATATATTGTTTCACTAAACTCCAACTTGATTGTAATAAAAGTAATTGTTCATTAGTGAATGATGTTACAGTAATTAATGCTTTATCATGTTCATTTTCAATTAATGTTATATCATCTGGTACATCTTGTGTTAAATTTAATTTATTTACATTCGTTGATAAAATGGAACTTGATGCTGAATTTAAACTTATTATATTATTATTATTATTATTAGTTGATTGAAAATTGAGTTTCTTGGGGGATATAGACAAATCATGCATACTTTTATGTAAACTAGAATTTCTTGATAAAGTTAAATGTTGTTTAATACGTTTTTTAAAACTATTCAATAAACTATAACTAGAATCTTGTGATATAGATGGTTTTGTTGTTGTTGATAGTGGTAGTGGTGTTGTTACAGGTTCAACAATAGTTGGATTTGATGAAGGTATAGAAGAAGAGATTGAAGTTGATAATTTACTTTCTTCAAATGTAATATTTATACTTGAAGATTTAATTGTACTTAATTCAACACAATCATGAAGAGATTTTACATCTTCCTCATTTGAATTATGTTTTATTATAGAATCTAATGATTGGGAACATTCAACAGTGATTATTTGATCATCATCCATATTATTAAATAGAAATTCTGACTTATTATGTAATTTGTAATCAATCACTTCACATATTTAGTCAATAATTTGTGCTAGATTTCCGGTTATTTCCAGGATCAAAATAGGAAAAAAAAGATTATTATTCGTCTTTTATGTTAAATTTTGCATATTTTCTATTTGTCATTAAGTGAATAAATGAAATTTAAAAAGAAAACAAAAACAATAGACAAGTCATTTTTATTATACAGTTAACATTTTGATTGGTTAAACAGTTGGTAACAATTATGATTTGCCTAAAAATCATCCATTTAAGTAATATACTTTGTATATTTAAGTAATAAACAAAACTAACAAAAGTGAGAAAAAATGGGAAGATATAATTCGATTGGTTTATTTGTATTCATCTTCGTGAATTTACACTTAGTCTGTGGAAAATCTTTCTTTTTGCTTTCTGACCGGGAAAATCACCGTAATTGTACATGTTGATGGTCAGATTCTAGAGCTAAGATCAAATCATTTATTGTATATGAAAGAAAATAAACTAGGAAAAGCACAAGAATTTGAAAACACATAAATGAATTTTTAAGCAAAGATGGATAGTGGCTGGCAGTGGAATCCAGGACGCGTGTTTCGTTCTATTTACGACTCGTCAGATGGATGTACCTACATCCCAGGGTTGATGTTCACTGTGACTCGAAATCAGTACCGTTCGCTTCAGACACCATTGCGTTATCCACTTACCTACTCATTCCTGATAGCCATCTGCTTGTGCACTGTGCTGAAGTTGAAATTTACTTGATCCTGTTTTACTTGTATCTCTCCATTGTTATTTAGGACTTCAATTGATCAATGTTTTGTTGGCATATGTGCATCCTGTGTGGATTCCACTACTAGCCACTATCCACCTTTGCTTAAAAAGCTTGTGACTTATGGCAATAACGAGACAATCTTCACAGGATGCACATATGCCAATAAGGGACTGATCAATTGTAGTCCTAAACATCAATCAGAAGATGCAAGTGGAACAACGCTAAGTGGATATTTTACATGTTATTATTGTCCCTGTTTGTTATAGTGGTGAATAACCATTAATAATGCGTGCTTCAAGCTTTCATACATAAGTCCACAATAGGACGATTTACTTGGTAATTCACATATTATGTATGATTTGTGTATTTCATTTAGCTTTTTGCCTTAGATGGACTGAGAAATTTCATTACATGATCTGTCCGTTAAGAACATGAGGTTTACAGATAAATAGCGTCTTGAGTATAGAACATATTTTCAAGTACAATAATTCATAATATTCCATTATTGTTTCATATAAAATTTATAATTCCTAATTTAGTTAAAAATATTTTTTTTATTTTCAATACATCTTATCCATTCCAAGACCTCGTAGTGTAAAAAATCACTTAGCAAAATTTATAAATCGGTTATATGATATTTAATGAAAGGATCAACCATCATTCAGATAGCATATCTTAAATTTTCAGCGCGAAATTTTTCCATTCAAATGGTTAAATATCCTCCAAACGTCATAGATTATATATGTGTAATGAAAATCTGATGTCTCATTCTTAACCCTAACTTTTAATAACCCGATATTCAAATGCTGATTTCTCACACAAATAATTGACCTTATTTTCAACTTTATAATTTGTCAGAGTTTCTCAAGTTTACATTTGTATAACTCGAAAGTCGTTCATAAATTACTTTTAATGAGGAATAAAATTGTGTGAATGTATTTTTTTAAATGATACTTTAGGTCATCCCTGAACATTTTGAATTTTTGGAACCAAAAATCGTCTTATTTTCAATTCTTATTTTTGGCAACAAAAACAACAATATGTTGATTGCTGCAATTCAAATATGTTACATTTAAGCCAATACAACTCATAAATACATCACGCAATCTAGTTAAAACTTCTGAATACTTAAATACCAATTTGATAGTTGAATTCATGAGTCAATTGAAGCTAGACCACCATGGAAGACCTAGTTTACTTACTTTACTTACGCCTGTTACTTCCAATGGAGCATAAGCCGCTGACCAGCATTCTCCAACATAATCTATCCGGGGCCTTCCTTCCCAGTTCTATCCAATTTTTGATCATTCTTTTCATATCTGTCTCCATTTTTCGGCGTAATGTGTTCTTTGTTCTCCCTCTTTTCCTTTAGTCTGGAGATTTCCATGTGAGGGCTTGCCTTGTGACGCAGTTGGGTGCTTTCCACGATGTGTGTCCTATCCACTTCCAGCGCTTCTTCCTAATTTCTTCCTCCTCTGGAATCTGGTTTGTTCTCTCCCACAAAAGCACTGGACGTAAATATAAAATGACTACTTTAGTAGAGTTTTATAATTTAATGTCTACAAATTGAATTTATTTATCAGTATGAAAGAAAAACAGTATCTCATGCTACATATAGTACTTATTGAGTAGGACTGACATTTTAAATTTCTAAGATGACATTTAACTACTTTGTATATTCAAATATGCCTATCAATTATATGATTAATAATGGGCTAATTGAAACAAAGGAAATAGCTTACTGATTACCTATGGAAAATAATGATGATGTATGGTTTAATAGTAAGTAGTATGATGTAGATCAAACAAAGGACTGTTGTCTGGACATCTTTAATGAACTCTCTTCAGTTACATGTTACAGTTTAATCTAGTTACAAACTTGTTTTCACTGAAAATTCAAAAAATTTTAAATTGATAATAAAGCTTTTTCGACATTCTACTTTTTGCCCAAACTTCGATGAACCATGTTCTATGCTTCATCTGATCTATTACAGACTAGGATAGCTGAATTCAAAACATTTTTATAATCAATCAACCATCAGAAAATCGAAAATTTCATAAAGGCAATCAACTCATTTTGACTAGTGAAAATAGTAGGAGCTTTATCACTCAGAAAACTAATGATTAAAGAAAAAAAGTGTTATCCTGAGATGTAAGAAAAAAATTTTGTGATTAGTTTCTTTTATGAAGCAATGAAAATAACCAATCAAGGAACTACCCATATAGAAATAGAGCACAAATTGATATCATACTCATAATGAACTATCTAAATTAACTAAAACTAAGGTAATCTTATTATTGAGTGCTTAATCATATTAGAGTAGATTACGTAATAGTATCAATGATAGTAATCAAAACAGTAATTATATCAGGAATCAGTTAAATCGATTAAAATGCTCAATAAACATACAGTTTTTAGTGATAATCAGTCTCAGGTTATTAGTAAACTTTGATAAGATTCATACGGAAATAAATACAGTTGTCGCATAACAAAAATAAATCAAACGTCGAAGAGAATTACAATTTTCATGGTTTATATCATGAAGGAGTCATCAGATAGTTGTCTTATCCTGCCTGGTATGTGTCTATTCATTATTGTTCAAATCGAGGATATTCAGTCTCTTAGGTAGCGCTTAACTTCTAGACCGCTGAGTCAACATTCAGTGGTGTATATGTTTGACTTCAATCATTTAGCGATGTTCCAAGATCATCTTCCACTTTCTGTGGTGAAACAATTCAACGAGCTCACTATATTGATATCAAAATCATTGACTGGAATAATCTCATTCGCCTGGTGTTTAAATATTTTATTTTCACTGGTGGATGATGAAATATGTTCAAATATGAGAATTATATGACTATGCTCAAACATTCCTATCATATTCTAGGACAGGCATATAAACAATAGATTTTTGCCAAAATTTATTGCACTTTCACTCATTAAACCCACATAATTTATGTGTTATTTATAACTTTTGTATACAGCATGAAGATAAACATTGTCATATGCTGACATCATATGGTTTTCAGAAGTTTATCCAGTTGTATTCAGTATGTAACCAAGTGATCTACGAACTATGGACATTTGCTGGAATTTATGTAATCTCATTGCATTGATGATTAATAAACTCATTATTAAATCTTAGCAGCAATGACATTTAAGCAAAGATGGATAGTGGTTAGCAGTGAAATCCACGACGCGCGTTTCAACCTATTCGGGACTCGCCAGCTGGATGTACCTGCAGCTATGTGAACAATGCAACGGCGTTTGAAGCGAACGGCACTAGGTTCGAGTCCCGAAGTGAACATCAACTCTGCGATGCAGGTACATCCATCTGAGGAAATGCGTGTCCTAGATTCCACTGCTAGCTACTATCTATCTTTACTTATAACGCTCGCGACTTAAGGCTATATCGAGGCAATCCGCACGTGATGTACATATGCCAACAATTGCAGTCCTAAATAAGAATTGGAAGTTACAAGCGAAACAACACCAAGTGAAGTTATGACATTTAGTTTAAAGTAAACGGAAATAATAATAAAAATGCTGGATGTGAATAGTTAGTCATATCAATTCGCTGATGAAAATTTATAGGAATATCACAGTTTATTGATAAAATAAGCCATTTATTTTGAAACTATAACGAAATTGGTTATATTTTAGATGGTATTCATCATAAATTGACTTTATTTGGAATAATATTGAAACTGGAAACCCATGGACAATTTTCTCATCCTTCTAGGGCATCTTTTAAGAAATGCTCACTCATTAGTCTACCACTGATCAAATATATTTTAAATTCTGTTTTCAATTTTAGTCACATGACAACATTCATGATCCTTAATTTAAACAACAACTGCACTGTCCACATTATTTAGTACTCTAAAACATTACTTTTACTTCCTCACCACTAGTAAACTATAGAAGTATTTTAAACTATGTTTCTATTCTCACTAACTAAAGCTTCTGCTAGTACCTATTATTGTAGTGAACAGAACACGGTTGGGGACAACTGAATGTATTTGACACAAAATTACAGGACTCGTTCATAAAATCAAATAATAAAAACGTAATTTGCAAAATGTCCATCAGTAGTCTCGTAATGACTAAGACTTCATTGTTCTTGCATTTTCATACAAATTGCATTGTGTTTCCATTCTTTACCGTTCGATCCTCTTGTCTCTCTGTTGCCAGACATTCTGTTCACGACTAACATCATTTACTACCTATGTCAATATAAGTAGCACACACCACATTATCAACTATAAAAATACTACTTACATTGAGAAGATTGGAAACCTTAAGTCTCAGCAAGTTATCTAATTATGGTTGGTGAACTGAAACAAGAAAGTTTGACTTATATGCGATTTTCTATACCAAGGATTT